TTAAATACTTGAGCATAGGATTTGAAACTATAAAACTCCTAGAGGAAAACAGCAATGCTTTAATGATATTGGCAAAGGCCAAACTCCTAGGGTCACCAGTTTTCACAATTCAAATTTAGAAGGTGGTATCAAGTAAAATTCTATATGTGTCATTTTCCTGAGTTGAGCAGCACAATTCTTGCTGTAGTCCATGGAAGACCTGGCCTCAACTGAGTGAAATCCTGATTGAACTGGTTAGATTGCATGCAAAACTAGGGGATAAGTCCCATATCAATAGGCACATAGTTTACTGGAAATTCATCCTTCTTGTTTTCTTTGGGATAGTCAGCCAAACTCAAGAGAATACCAGAGGTTAGAGAGTTAAAGTTTAGAAGGCCACCCTTTAGAAATGCCAGGGTGAACTGAAATAATTTTCCACCTCTGAAAGATGAACCATTGTGTGAGGTTATCACAGTCCCTAGAGTCAGATTGTTCAGATTTGAATCTTGACTTGAATGGCTTGGCTTGAATCTTGCCTCTTATTAGGTGCATGATCTTAACTCCTCTGTGCCTCAGTTTCCTTATCTGTAATACTGAGTATAAAAATTGTACTTTCATCATGTAGTTTTTGTAAGGAATACAAATATGAGTTAATTACATAAAAGAGTCAAGGAATACATAAAATAAGCTACAACATAGATTGAGACTTGCAAGAATATCTGACATTCAAGATATATTCAGATGTTGCCATTTTATAATTTTCTTTGTTTAAAGCCTATTGATAGCCTGCTAGGTGGGTTCTGTACTGCTTCAGGAAATAAAGACATTTTTCCTTGGTTACATCTGTTGCAATTCCTTTATCTGTGCCCAGTCCTACAGGGCCTTGCTGTCAGCTAAGTTTCCAAGCTGCAAATTGAATTGATAAAATAACACTCCATGATTGCTTAAGATGTTTCTCCTCCCAGGAACATTTGCATTTTTATAGAAGACTCTGGGAGATACAAAGCCATCCTAATTCTAATAAATTAATTTCTGTTTCAGGCCTTTTGGGCAAGGCTGCTGTGCTGTACCAGGGGTGCCACACTTGGCAGACAGTGATGGAAATAATTTGGTATTGTGGTTTGCAAGCCTTGCTCACTGGCATCTCAGGGATTATGTAGGGACTAGAAAGAGAAAACTCAAAGAGCCCTGTTTCCCCCAGCCCCTGTAGGATCTTCTATATGATTTCCATATTGGACATCTGTTTTCTTTAAAAAGGAGGTTTGAAGTCCGTAGGTATAGGGTAAGATCCTTTTTTTAAACTGAATAATTTATTGATCTATTTATATTTGGCTGGGTCTTTGTTCCTGTGTGCCAGCTTTCTCTTGCTGTGATGAGTAGGGGCTACTTTCTAGTTGCAGTATGTGGGCTTTTCATTACGGTAGTTTTTCCTCTTGTGGAACATGGGCTATAGAGCATACCATGCAGGCTTCAGTAGTTGCAGCACACTGACTTGGAAGTTGTGGTTCTCAGGCCCTAGATCATGGGCTCAGTAGTTGTTTCACATGGACTTTGTTGTATGTGGAATCTTCCTGGAGCAGAAATCAAACCTGTGTGCCTCATTGGCAGGCAGATTCTTAACCACTGGACCATTAGGGAAGTCCAGATCCATTTTTTAAAAAATGAATTAATTTATAGAATAGATGAGACAAGTGCTTGGGCCTGGTGCACTGGGAAGACCCAGAGAGATTGGGTAGAGAGGGAGGTGGGAGGGGGGATCGGGATGGGGAATACATGTAAATCCATGGCTGATTCATGTCAATGTATGACAAAAACCACTACAATATTGTAAAGTAATTAGCCTCCAACTAATAAAAATAAATGGAAAAAAAAAAAAAAAAAAGAAGGCGAGGGTTGGATGACCTGAGAGAACAGCATCGACACATGTATATTACCAAGTGTGAAACAGATCTCCAGTCCAGGTTGGATGCATGAGACAAGTGCTCGGGCCTGGTGCACTGGGAAGACCCAGAGGGATCGGGTGGAGAGGGAGGTGGGAGGGGGGACCGGGATGGGGAATACATGTAAATCCATGGCTAATTCATTTCAATGTATGACAAAAACCACTGCAATGATGTAAAGTAATTAGCCTCCAACTAATAAAAATAAATGGAAAAAAAAATGAATGAACTTATAGAATGGAAAGATCTTCTCACTAGGAAGAACAAAGTTCTCTACTTTGAACCTTTAATTTCTCACCTTTCAGTCTTTTTCTTTTCTTTTTTTACATTCACAGAACATGCATACCTGCTAAATATGTTCATTCACTATTAGAACTGGAAGAGGGCTTGTAAAGGGCATCTTGAACAACCTCCCACTAGGGAAGAGATTACTCTTTATCACATGTCATAGAAGCCTACATCTTAGAATGCTATAAATGGAAATATATTGTAAAATTCCTTTAAAATACAGAACACATCCTATAGAGACTGGCATCTGAAAATTGCCTGAATTAAGTTACATAAAATGCCTGAGGTGGTATAAGGTAAAGGTTGGATGCTCAGGTAAAAATGACAGGAAACATCAGCAGTGGAAAGATTGCAGGGGTGGAAAGAATGCCTACACCACCAGGTACTGTCTTTTCTCATCAAAAGCCTTATTTTCCCTTCCTGTGAGTAGACCTAAGACCCACCCACATTTCCAACCCATTATGTTCACTGCCTCTGATACTTTCTCTGCTTCACTGGCCTATGGTAATGGATCATCAACAGAGAATACAATAAATCCCCATTAATTTATACCTGGGAATGACTGGCCAAAGTAACTGAGTAGGACATTGGTTGTGCTTTTCAAGGGGGAAATAGGTCAAGAACTGTCCATGATCCCCAATCCTGATCAATCCTTTAAACAGATTCAAAAGGGAGCTCGTAGTTGTGTTTATACTATGAATTGTGTAATGTTCTTATGTGAGTGGCTTTCTACCTTGCAATGGAGTGATGGTGATGGTGGAGCATAGAAGGGAACACATTCACAGAGATGTTCAGACCAGCATCATCCAAGTACGCTGACCTTGTAGATGGAATTGAGAACCTTTCTAACCAGTAGTATGTAAAATCCCAGATCAGGCTCTTCCTTGCCTGACTTGGACTGTAGTCTAAATCTGGGCCAATCACCATGATCAGTATTACCTGGGTATTGTGATTTGTCATGATTTGGTTCTCAGGCCACTTCTAGTGGTCAGGGAGTCAACTTCTTAGGAGTGGCAACTCCACCAGGTTTGAGCAGAAATGATAAGGGGAAGTTCATAATAAGGATAGAAGTTATCGTTGACAGAAGTGAGAGAATGGATGCTGGCATGTAAAAACATTGGCTATCCCTAAGTCCTTTGGCACATTGGACTCACCTGGGAAGGTTTAAATATTACTGTTGCCTGAGTCTCACCTCCAGTGATTCCGATTTAGTTCTTCTCGGGTATGGCCTGGGCACTGGGATTTTAAAAAGCCCCTCAGGTGATTCTAATGGGCAGCCAGGGTTGAATCCTTGCCCAGTTCTTTCTCTGGGTCATCATTCTACACATTACCAAAAATCAATCCTTCTGAGTCGCAGTCCTCTGCCTCGAACAAACCCTTGATTCCACCTGAATGTGTTCAAGACTCACTGGACTGGACTTCAACTTCTTTTCTCAGTCTTACCTACCACTACTGTTTTATTCTCACCCTGTATGCCAGCCAATGGGGGGTGTTTGCTAGTTTCTAAATATCTGTAAAATGCCTGTAGTCTCCCTGTGTTATTATCCCATTTCTTTGACTTAGAACAGAGCTGTCCGATGAATTTTTTTGCAGTATGGAAAAGAAATCAATTCTGGGTGTTCATTGGAAGGACTGATGTTGAAGCTGAAACTCTAATATTTTGGCCAGCTGATGGGAAGAGCTGACTCATTTGAAAAGACCTTGATGTTGGGAAGGGTTGAGGGCAGGAGGAGAAGGGGAGGGCAGGAGGAGAAGGGGACGACAGAGGATGAGATGGTTAGATGGCATCACCTACTGAATGCACATGAGTTTGGCTGAACTCCGGGAGTTGGTGATGGACAGGGAGGCCTGGCGTGCTGCAGTCCATGGGGTCATAAAGAGTCGGACACGACTGAGCAAGTGAACTGAACTGAACTGAATGTTCTTCTACACTATCCAATATGGTCACTGCTGGCCCCTTGTGTGGCTAGTGAGCACTTGAAGTGAAGTTAGTGTGACTGGAGTTTAAATTTTATTTCAGTTTGTGTGCGGCTGTGCCAGTCATGTCCAACTCTTTGCAACCCCATGGACTTAGCCCTTCAGTCTCACTGAGGACTGTGATTGGCCCTAGGAAAGGCATTGATCTGTCCTGCCACACCATGTTGTTCTTTCTCTCACCCCTGACCCCACTCCTGATGTTAGAAGCTTATTGAGAGGAAAGACTGATTAGAAGCTTGTGCTTACTAAAAACTCAATGAGCGTTTGTTGAATAAAGGCAGACAAAATTGCACCAACCATAAATGTCTGAAGCTATTTCCTTCTCCAGGGAATCTTCCCGACCCAGAGATTGAACCCCAGTCTCCTGCATTGCAGGCAGATTCCTCATCATCTGAGCCACAAGGAAAGCCCACTTTTGTACTGCAGAGACATAGATATTACTGGGCAAAGTACATACCAATCGAAGTTCCTATGTTCAAAAGTGTCGCCAGTTGGATGGAAAGGCACATGTACCGGCTGTGTGAGAGAAACTGGGTCAGTAGATTAGGTGGGAGAGAATGACTAATCTATGAAGTGACCACAGGGTGTTAGCCTATTTTATTTGGCTTGGAGGCAAAAATAGTCGTGGAGCTCGGAAGTACTAATGATTTTTATTAAAGTAAATGAGGGGGCATGGCCCCTCAGAGTACACTAACACTTCATGAAGAATTCTGGGATCAGTCCTGATGAAACAGTTATAAACTCATCCTGACCCACGCTTTTGCTCCAGAATTAGTTTGTAAAATGATGAACTCTCACTTCCTAAATTTTCTGCAGATGCTACTGTTGCTGGGGAAATGTCATTGTTAGAGAATAGAAAACTATTATTCCAAAGAGGACCGAAGACTGACTGAATCAGGTCTGGAACATTATTGAAATGGTAAGATATACTCAAGCACTTTCTGATAAAAGAAAAATTCTTTTTAAAGTATGTGGTCCCTTCTGAATTATGGCCAAATGTCACCATATCATTTGCAGTGAAATTTTATCTATTAATGGCGAGGAGATGGAATGAGGCTCTGAGATCCTCTGGGAGCCCCAGAGCTGAGGTTGCTGTCCCTTGAGATTGCTGGTAATGGAAGCTGCTGAAGCTGGAGGTCATTAACATTTTGAGAACACCGCAAACTGACACTGTGTAATATTATGACATTTCATCCCAAGACATTTAATCTCTTTTAATCAGTGTTTATGTTGGGGATACTTCACAGTTATTTGCTTTTGCATAAAAATGGAGCACTTTGGCATGTCATTAACATCAGACTGACTTACTTTTATTACTCATTGAAATTGTTTCTGGATCTCTCTTTCTCTCTCTCTCCCTTCCCCTAGTCTTCTCTCCTCTTCCTCCTTCTCTTTTCCCATTTTTCCCTTCTCTTCATTGTTTTTGGCTTTTGCTTTCACTGTGCTATTTTGGAAAGCCCTTCCAGTTTTTCCCTTTGCTGATATTTTCCTGGGATGTTGATGGGATGTTGATGTTGACCTGAAGTTCCGTGGCCACCTTCTTAGTAAACTTTGACTGTAGATTCTGGACAAAAACCCATCTCATCTCTCCGAAAAATACTCATGGTCCCCATATCATCCTTCTTCTCTTCTGAATGTTACTCCATGGAAGACTTACCTGCTTATTTTTCCTCTTCCCCACTCTCCTTCTCTCTCATTTGCTTCAGATGTTGTAAGTTTCTAGCATCTGTCTTCATGTCTCTAATTCTCTTTCCTCCTTGTAAGTGAGGTGCTTTATCTTGCTTTAAAGCTACTTAAGCCTTTCTTCCCAACTCAAAACCATTTCATTAAATGCAAAGCTGATCATTGTTGATTATTTTATGTGAGAGAACGGATATATTCCTGACCATGTGGTTCCACATTTTAGTCCATGAACTTGGTGTAATTTTCTTTATTTAAAGCAAATGAACAATTATATTGTACATGATAAATCTTTTCTTGTGCCAAGTGGTCAAGGTCTAATCTCAGCTTGGAGAAGAGTTTCTAATCCTGGATATTGCTGACGTTTGGGGCGGGGTGATTCTTTGTTTGGGGCGGCTCTTTGCACCGTGGAGTGTTCAGCGGCATCTCTGACCTCTGCCTATCAGATTCCAGTAGTATTTGCCAGCTGTGACCACAAAACAGATCTCCATATATTGCCAAATGTCTGCTATGGGGTGAGCTAGTCCCACATGGAGAGCACATGGGCTTACTGGAGTGCCCTGTCCTTTCTGCAGAGTGATGTCTAAGAGATAGGTCAGAACTTCAGGCAGGCTGGAGGAAGCCTTTCTTGAAATCCCTCTTCGTCCACCTAGACTCGTAGAGGGGTCCCTATTCCCATCCTGACTCTGGCCCGCTGTGCATGTACCATGAACTTCCAAGCGGCTCTCAGAGCAGCCGTCTCGGCTCTGCTCTCCGGCACACAGCTCCTGCTGCGTGACTGCACAATGCTCTGTGAGGTGGCCTCAGGCCTGTTCTGGTGCCGCGCTGGGGGGCCAGGCTGAGGGATAGGACACATGGATCTTGCAGGTTCCAGGTGCTGCCCTGGGGCTGGGGGCCCACTTCTGTTGGATCTGTGATTCCCAGTTCCCTCTGGGGAGACCGTTCTATAGGATGCAGGGCTCAGGAACGCACTGTCATCTAAACTCAGCTTCTGCTGTGACTCTGCTTGATCCCCACAGTCCTGGTCACCTTTTTGTAGTCTGAGGACAGGCTGGCCTGGCTCTCTCTCTGGCTTCCCAAAGATAATGTTTTATGGCTTAGAAGTTATAGACTTCATAGTTATGCTTTTAACACCAAAAAGTCTCTGCTTCTCTGCTGTATGATCCCTTCCCCGAGGCAATGAATTCTACTGAGTGAATGGGTAGGGGGGAAGGGGTGGGAAACGATGAGAGAAAAAAGTTTTGGTTAAAATTTCAGTTATTTAAAACAAAAATTGTCACTTGTTTATTCTGGTCTATATTTCCATAAGAATATAGATATTTGGAAAACTAGATAAAGTCATTCTACTCTCAGCCTCTAGAAGGATGATTACGACTGTGAGGAACCAAGAGATTCCCAGGGAAACGAAGAGCTCAGGTGACGGTGAGTTCCTGAGCTGGGTGTCCGGTGGGTAGGACTCTTATGATGGAATCAGGAATTTAAGATGACTCAGTAGGATTTCATCTGGGTGTTGTGGTCTTGCTTCGTTTTAATGAGCCGAGGGCTCCTTAGTAATCAATCCTCTGCAGTTCTGCGCATCTGGAATCATTGCTCTTTGCAAAGCCTCTGCTCCACTCCTCACTCCTAACTCCCCACAGCATATTCGATGTATATTCCTCTTTTCTAAAGTATTAGTGTAAGCTATGAATTATTTCATGAGTTGTGATTTATGTAGATAGCATTGGATTTCTTTTTTTTTTTTTAACTCAATACTCTGTATTTGGAATATGATGGCTTTTCACTCAATATTCTGTTTTTAGAATATGATGGATCTAAAGCAATATCTCTTTTTTTTTTTTTTTTAGTTTAAATTGCATTCCTCTGATTGCTAATGATTTTCGTCACTGATTATATATTTGGGCTTCTTTGACTCTGAATTGACTCAAATATCTTTTACTCATTTTTGAAATTTGAGATTCTTATGCTCTTTTCATTTGCATGAGTTTCTTGTATATTCTAGATAATAATTTCCTTGTGGTTTTAGACATGGCCAAAATCATCTCTCTGCAACAGCTTTCATGTTAGCTTGATTCACAGAAATTCTTAATTTGATGTGATTAAAGCTATTAATGATGATTTTGGAATTTTGTCTAAGAAGTTCTTCCCTAACCCTAGGGTACATTATCTTCTACCTTTATGGTTTATTTTGATTTATTTATTTGATAAATCTGGACTTCATTCTTGTAGGTGATAGTATGTACAAATTTTTCTCCAAATGAACAGCATTCCTATCATCATTTACTAAACAGTCTGACTTGTGGCACCATCTTTATTATATAATCAACTCTGAAATGTGAGTCTATCTCACAGTCATTTTGATCTGTTGGTCAATTTTTCTATTTTTGTGTTAATACAATACAGTTTATATTATAAATGATGTTCTATTAATAGTAAGTCTTAGTAGCTGTTATGCCAAGCGTCCACCTTATTTTCTTATCATGGTGATATCTCAAGTTATAATTCAGGACTACTTGTAAGCATCCCTTTGGAGTCTAGGATTTCAACATACAAATTTGGCGATAGATACAAACATTTAATCCGTAGCATCTAATGATAGAGAGTCGAGGAATCAAGGGAAGCTTTTAAATGTTGCTGGTGAGAGCATACACAGATATAGCCAGTAAGAAAAACAAGTTGGTACTATTTTTTGAAGTTTAACATGCACAGTCTACATAATATACCAATTTTATTCTTGCATGCATTATATATCACAAATAAATACCTGCTTATGTATCCAAAAGAGAGATAGGTGAATATTTGCACCAGTATCATAATAGCAACAAATTGGCAATAACACAATGTCCTTAGGAAAGTGGATAGACAAATTATACAGTATTCATAAAATGAAGCATTTTTTAACAATGAAGTTGAACTACAACAATGTGTGTCGCCATGGGTAAATATTAAAAAGTATTATTGAGTGTAAAAAGCAAGACTGAAAAGAATGAATATAAGATTTCTATTTTATGAGTTTCAAAAGCTATGCAGAACTGACAGGTATTAAAAGAGAAGAGTGTGTCTAAACTGGAGAGGGTATGGAGAAAAGGGATCCTCCTACACTGTTGGTAGGAATGTAAATTGGTGCAGACACTATGGAAAACATTATGAAGGTTCCTCAAAAATCTAAAAGTAGAGTTTCTGGAGGATCCAGCAATCCTATTCCTGGGCAAATATCCAGAAAAAACTATAATTCAAAGAGATACATGCACCCCTATGTTCATAGCAGCACTATTTACAGTAGCCAAGACATGGAAACAACCTAATTATCCATTGGAAGAGGAGTGAATAAAGAAGACATAGGGCGTGTGTGTGTGTGTATACACACATCATGGAATATTACTCAGTCATAAAAAATGAAATAATGCCATTTGTAGCTGCATGGATGAACCTGAGATTATCACACTAAATGAAGTAAGTCAGAAAGAGAAAGGCAAATGCCATATGATATCTGGCAAATACCATATGATACTATACCAAATGGTATCACAAATACCATAGTAGATACCATATTCCACTTATTCATGAAATCTAAAATATGACACAAATGAACTTATCTATGAAACAGAAACAGACTCATAGACATAGAGAACAGTCTTGTGGTTGCAAGTGGGGTGGGGAGGAGGGTTGGATTGGCATTTTGGGGTTAGCAAGTGCAAACTATTCCATATAGAATGGATAAACATAAACATCCTACTGTATAGCACAGGGAACTATATTCAATGTCTTGTAATAAGCAATAAGGGAAAAGAATAATAAACTAAAAGTTCATTGTTTTCTTTTGTATTTATTTTAATTTAATTTTGTTATCTGTTGACTCCTCTTGACAGTAAGATCCATGCACCGATTATTTTCCACTTGGTTCCCCCTCCCCCAACCATTTTCCATTTTCTTGGCTCTGCATTGTTCTCTCTGAGGCTAAAGACTATATCACTTTGAATCGTTTTCTCTCATATTTTCAGTTGTATTTGGCCAGTGGGAAGCTGTGGTAAACTACAGTGTGAGGAGAGGTATTGAAGAACTTTTTCTGGCAGCTTCCTTATCTTTGGGCAATATCTGTATCTCCTGTGACTATTGTTTCTTCCAGGCATCTCTTCCTCTAAGTTTCAAAGTCTCATTGATTTGATGTCGTATCCCCCTTGCCCACTCAACATTAGATGTGGTAGTGGCTTCTCACACTTGCTGCTCAGCTTTCCTCATCTA